ATAGCTAGGATTACAACTTTCTCTTTATTATCCTTCTTTTTTTTTTTTTTTTTGAGACAGAGTCTCACTGTGTTGCCCAGGCTAGAGTGAGTGCCGTGGCGTCAGCCTCGCTCACAGCAACCTCAAACTCCTGGGCTCAAGCGATCCTTCTGCCTCAGCCTCCCAAGTAGCTGGGACTACAGGCATGCGCCACCATGCCTGGCTAATTTTTTCTATATATATTAGTTGGCCAAGTAATTTCTTTCTATTTATAGTAGAGACGGGGTCTCGCTCTTGCTCAGGCTGGTTTCGAGCTCCTGACCTTGAGCAATCTGCCTGCCTCGGCCTCCCAGAGTGCTGGGATTACAGGCGTGAGCCACCGTGCCCGGCTTATTATCCTTCTTTACTGTATAAACTTTCTTGACTCTTATTTATTCCATAAAAATGTAATTCGAATCGCTGATCTGTGAAAAATTCCTGCTAAGATTTTGTTTGGAATTATGTCAAACGTATAAACAATATAAAAAGATTAAAATAATTAAAGAATTGTCTTCCTAGCCAGAAACATTGGGTCTCCTCAGCCTCAGATTAAAGTGTAATAGTTTTCTTCCTAGGCCATTCCCTGTTCTTAAAAGTTTAATCCTTAGCATTCCTTTCTGCTGCTACTATGAATAGCTGCCTTTTGCCTCTTATTTTTTAACTGGTTAATTAATACACACAAAAGATCACAATATTTATATTATTTATAAAGGTACCCTACTAAACTTTATTAGCTTTAGTGATTGCCTTGGGAATTTTTTATTTAACTTCAAATAACTTTACCCTCTTTTCCAACAGTTCTCTCTCTCACCTCTTTTTCTTAATACATTGGCTAGATATTTCAGTGCTATTTTAGATAGCAGTGACAATAGCAGGTACGCTGCTAATTCTAATAGGAAATAAAATTCTAGTGTTTCACTAGAATTTTACTAGTATTTTGGCTACTGACAGCCTGATCTGTTTGCTTATAAAATTATAGAAAGTTCCCATAAAATAGTAACAGTGGTATCTCGAAACACTGAGATAAAGGGTGGTTTTATTTTCCTTTACATCTTCCAGGAAATGGATTTTTGCATATTTTTTTATTAGACTGGCCATGAATTTTTCCAACTTCTTTTCCAAGTTTCCTTAAACAAATGAACACACATACACATCCCAACCCCCAATGCCATTATCTCCTTATTTCTCCTAATATTCTTTAAGGAGAATGTTTCTAACTCTAATCTTGGTTAGCAATCAATAACTTACAGAAAGCAAGAGAGAAGCAAACCCCTAGAAAAGCTTTCTCTTTAGAAACAACATCCTACTATCCTCTGTGAAAGATAGGATATCTGAAAATAATGTCTAGATACAAATTTCTCAGAGTAACTTACTCCACTAATAAAAACGGTACCTCATCCTTTTTACTAAAATACATCTGTGCCTAATTAAGACTGCAGTACAGGATGCCAGGAAATAAAATTATTAACTAGTAGATATTAGAAAAGTCGTAACACTCCCAAATCAGAGCACCATGAAAACCAGATTCTAATACTCTTAATATTAGACTTACATGTTAACAGATGGATAAAGTTCTTCACTCCTTATCAAATCCTTTCTTTAATATTTTATTAAGTAACCATCATTCTGACCCTATTTCAAAATCTTAACTAATTTGTGGTATATTATCAGAAAATGTTAATCTCAAATATAAACAGCTTAATTTTTCATTTTTACTCTACCAGGAAAGTTTCAAAGTGCTAAAACATGCAAACTGCTAGCTATCTTCTAAAAATAGAAATAAAATAATTAGGTCACAATGGATGGCTCCTTACTTGGCCAAAAAAGAAGGATGATGAATGTAATTGGAATGTTTATTGTCACTGAAATTCTTCAGGCCTGGATTCCAAGTCCACCTCTTGATGCAGGTTACTATGACAACTTAAATTACAGAAAATGCGCCCCCTTCTTCTACCGAGTAGTTTTTCTCTGCAAGAGCAAGACTTCTAAAATCTGCGTGTAGAAAATTATCTGTAATAACAATAAATACTTCTTCGTAAGTTTTATTCAGAAATGCCCCCATCTCAACCCTTAAAACCTTAAGCATATAAAACCCAAATTCTATTATATTTACATGGGACAGAAAACCTAACCTGAAAACACACATGCACACACTTAAAATATAAAATATTGAGAGTATTCTGAAACTACTTCCTATTACCAGAGGCACAGTGTATTACCACCATATGTTTCATTCCATAAACTATGGAAAATTACTTATAAAGCAGTTTTGAAAGAAGATTATAGAGCTAAGTCCTGTTTATCATTATTTTCCCCTCACTAATGCTTTTTACGAGAAAGTACCAGAAAAGAAATATGGGGGAAGATTATAGTCCTGTTTTGAACAGAAAAAGAAGCAAATAAATAATCTGTAAAATTTATTCTGTCTTTTCACACAAAATATGAGCTTTAAAGTTTGTTCTCACACAGCTTCAAATTTATAAACCTAACAGAAGTGTTCTGTGATAAATAAAGTGTGAATTATTCCCTATCACCACATTCTCTAAAAGAAAAATGGCTCAAGAGAAATTGCAAAATTGCATCAAATGTGATTTATTAGAAAGATATTCTGATTGCAAGATATTAAAAAGGTAAGGTTGCCCCATGGGGAAAAAATTTTAGAAAGTTTCACAGTGTAGCAATACTGAGACTTCAAAGCTAATTTTTAGCCCATCAGAGTTAACATGACTAAAATTAGATGCTACATATGGAAAGGATGAGGGAAGTCACTCTCTCCTATCTTATAAGCTGGGTTAGTTCAGTAGCCAGCATAGGCAAAAGAGTTTTCTAAGTTTCATGTATAGCTACATCTGAGCAAAAAATGACAACTCTTCAGCAATGAACTCTAAGCAACTCATATAATCCCCACCTGTATTATTAGTGGATAACTAATAGCTATCCAGAGGGGAAAAAATATATAATTGAAATGTTCAAACCCAAATACACATAATCCCTAAACACTAAGCCTGAACTCCAATTCTTCTTAGTTTAATTTAACATAAATCCTCCTAAACAGAAAATAATTAATGTAGAAGAGACAGCTTTATAGCACAGCTTCATCAGTAATGGAAGCTAAAACTAAAATTTAAATGGCTATCCAATTACAGAGAGAACATTAGTCCGTGGAGCTACACAGTACATTTTTTTTCTTATGCTTTTCTGTTTTAGACCATATTACAAATGGCAGGCATCAAAAATACGGTCTGAATGGGTCTTTTTGGCTCTCACACGGACATAACAAAATTGCCTCATCGACTCTCTTTTACTCTCAACATCTGTGGCCTTCCAGTGGGCAGCTTTCTCTAATGCCACAAGCAATGTAGTAGGGTCTGCACGACAGCAACTTAACCAGTGAGAATCCGGACTTGTGGTTTTAGGAGTCCAGTCCTTCCATGTAATCTAGCAATTATTAGAAGGCTCTAAAGTTATAGTTTTGTTTTGTTTTTTATTTCAGGGCGAAATTAGTTTATGTGAGACCTTCGAGATCCATCATGTATTTAAAAATGCAGGCACGTAACTTTTGTAAACGAGGGGCCAAGGCATTTACGAGACAGTACACTGGCTGGTGCCCTTAAAAGAGTTTATTCACCTGTAAAATGTGAACAATTTATTCCTAAGTCGTTCGCTTACTAAACTATGTCATATTACTTTCACTTCTGGGACCAATAAGTCACTCAAATGTTCAAGAGACGAGAGATGACACACGGCAAAATACTAAAAACAAGTGAAACATAATATTCTGTATATTCTTACCTGAGAGATTGTGTGACCCCCTTTGCTTAGTGAAGCCAATTATAGACATTATTTAAGAAATGGAAGCTCAAACTACTGAATATTCCACTTTTTTTTTTTTTGAGACTGAGTCTCACTCTGTTGCCTGGGCTAGAGTATCATGGCGTCAGCCTAGCTCACAGCAACCTCAAGCTCCTGGCTCAAGCGATCCTCCTGCCTCAGCCTCCTGAGTAGCTGGCTAATTTTTTCTATTTGTAGTTGTTTGGCTAATTTCTTTCTCTTTATAGTAGAGACGGGGTCTCGCTCTTGCTCAGGCTGGTCTCGAACTCCTGAGCTCAAGTAATAATCCTCCCGCCTCGGCCTCCCAAAGTGCTAGGATTACAGGCGTGAGCCACTGCGCCCGGCCAGAATATTCCACTCTTATCAAGATTATTACGGAGAAGAGTCAGAAAGACCAGTTAGTCATCAAGACTTTCTAACCTTTCACTGTGAGAAATACTTCTCAGCTTTAAAAGAGGCCGCCAATTTATAGTATTAGTGGAAAAGTGCTCAGAAAGCCCAAGAGTGGTGATACATGACTTCAAAACATTTTGCTTCAGACTCCAATTTTGAAGCCCAATGCGTGTTTTATGATGCTTTTAGTGTTAACCCAAATTTGGACCTGGGAACTATATTACAGTTATGGCCACAGATGCCATCACTGACTACACTTTATATTCTCTAAATAAAGGCTTACAAATGAAGATTCTGAAAGAGTTCGCCAGTGAACACAATCTCTGAAAGTCTCCCAAAACTTTGAAAAATGTTTTTAGAAGTCTGGCGGGGCGCGGTGGCTCATGCCTGTAATCCTAGCACTCTGGGAGGCCAAGGTGGGCAAATTGCTCAAGGTCGGGAGTTCGAAACCAGCCTGAGCAAGAGCGAGACCCCGTCTCTACTATAAATAGAAAGAAATTAATTGGCCAACTAATATATATAGAAAAAATTAGCCGGGCATGGTGGCGCATGCCTATAGTCCCAGCTACTTGAGAGGCTGAGGCAGCAGGATTGCTTGAGCCCAGGAGTTTGAGGTTGCTGTGAGCTAAGCTGATGCCACGGCACTCACTCTAACCTGGGCAACAAAGCAAGACTGTCTCAAAAAAAACAAAAAAAGAAGTCACTGAAAGTGACAGTCTTCTAGGATGCAAGTAAGGAGTACACATCTTCTGACTCACCTTACCACGCTGGAGTCTCCAAGCCAGAGTTGAGCATGAGGTAGTCTCGAAGGACAGAGCACCGGCACAGGTATTCTAGGACGATCTACACAGGCACCTGAAAAGGTACACAGTGTTCTTACAGGCCTGGCTAATTTTTATCTTAAAAATGCTAAATCACACCATTTAAACTTACTCAAAGACCAAAATACACACTGCTTGTACTTCAAATAGTTTTCCCAAGAAGAATTTTTCCTCCACTCCCCCTGCTCCCCTTTATTCATTTGAATTGTGGTACTTGTGGGGTGGGCTTGTTTTCTGTTTGGTTTCAATTAGCATTTTTGTGCCTTTGAAAAAAGGAATCTCAGTTGTTTCTAAAAAAGGTCATTTGATGGGCCCGTGGTGTTCTAGGAAAGACTTTGTGCCTTCTTTTTCTACTGACCCAAGCTCCCTACAAGACCACAGTAATTTCTTGACAGCAGTTAGCAGTTAGACAGTTGGAAAATTGCCTGATGCCAGGGCTAAAAATGAAGCTGAAGGAGAGATCTAGGGTTTTAAGTCCTAAAAAATAAAAACAAAAACATGCCACACTTTTCCTTGGTGAGTACAAATTACCAGCACTGGCCAACCTAGGAAAGAGGGTAACCTGGAACCATATCTTTTGACCATTTTATTGCCTAATGCCGTGAGAATGTGAAACTCGGCCACCACATGGGTTACAAAGAAAGCCAAGGAAGAAATCTTGGCCACAAGATGGAAATTGACGCAATTCATGTGTCTGCCACATTCAGACGATGCCCTTCACAGATGTTTCTGAATTTATTTATAGAAAGGTTTACTTTAGCAACAAGACCAGCTTCCATTACCCATTTTTTAAATATACCCAGACGTTGAACTACTTTTATTATGAATAGAAAAATACCACCCAAAAAGGTTACAGTCCTTAAATTCTTAGTCATGATATAATACAAAATATCAAATCAGGATATAAGGAGAAAGAACTGATGGACTCCAAATATGATGCAAAATGTAAGAAAACATAAATTTCAAACACAATTGAGGAAGGGTAAAGTGACTGCAAAGTTTCCCCTGTCCTAGTTGGGTTCTCCCTGCACAGCTGCTATACCCCTGAATGGAGACACTGTCTCCAAATCTGGTTTCTAGCCTCACACTTCATATAACTTAATAGTGGTTATAAAAATGCCACTCGCTTCCTGATTATTTTTTACATAGTGTTACAGCTGCAGTGCAAAGGTGTGTTAGTACATGCTTCCAACTAAGAAAAAGAAAAGTAGCAGTGACATTAAAAAAAATTTTTTTTTCTAATAAAAATAAATAGGTTTAAGCCAGCTAGATATCACAGAATTTGTTTCATCCTCTTATACCAGATGTTAGGTTAGCGTCTCTGGCTTCAACTAGACCTACCTATCTGCTAAAGAAGCTAGAAGAAACAGACACATCTGAGGCTGATATGATTTGGTAAAAGTGCCTGTTCATGCAGAGTGTCATCCAAAGATCAATGAAGAGAGAGTCCTGCTGGGGTAGCAAATTCAGAACCAAGTGAGAAGAGGCTAAATGAACTAACAACCACCCTAATTCCTGTCTTTGGGTCTGGAAGCTACCTGGAATCCAAGCTGGTAGGTGAAACTATTCCCATTTACCTAAACCCATATCTCTTCCTTACCCATCTTATCTTCTTTAAAACCTTGTCTCTCTTTTTAGTTTTGTTTTCAAGAAAACTTTTTAGAGTGGGAAGTGGGCTGCTGAGAATGAGTTTCTAAAATTGACATAATCATTATCTTCTTTTGTCCATAAAATAAGGTCATCTCTGAGCCAGACATTTAAAGGCCAAGAAGATTACAGTGCTTATTCCCTTATATGTAATTTGAAGTGACACTAACATCTATACTGAGATTAAAAATCTCTCCTTGGTAGATTTTCATAACTGTACAATTCTGAGATGGGATGGGGTATCCCGTTCTGCTGTGCTTGGGATGCCTGTGGAAATGCCAGACCAGACGGGGAAAGTGAGAGGCCTAGGGTCCTGCTCATCTGTCCCCCTCCCAGGCCTCTTTGCACAACCACCCTAACTACTCAACCCACGGTTCACTCTTCGGCCAGGCTCCTTTACAGAAACCAACCAACCAGAAAAGATGAAATCCTATCATTCTACTGCTTTCAAAAGTCTCCACATAAAAAGTTCAACTTTATGTTTGTCACGTAACTGTGGTGACAAATTTTTCCTAACCGCAAACGTAGATCTGGCAATTGCAAGAGTACTTATGAAGACAATGAGAAATTAAGAGATTTAAGCGGGGATGATCTCGGAGAACTTATAATGTACCAGGTGCTCTACAGGAGTCCCTTCACATCCCTTCAGGTCACTGTCCAGGCTCATCTCTGGTCCCTCTCCTGAAGTCCCCACATGGCATGCCAAGCCTCACCCCACTGCCTCTGGCTCCACTTTATGTTGGCATCCCGTGCCCAGTCCCTACTGACTTTCTGTGCTGACCAAACTCCAATCACTCTCCAAGACTCAGCTCAAATGTTATCTCACCACCCCCTAGAAACCTTCCCTCATCCAAATTAGTCACTCTAAGTATTCCCAAATGGCTGACACTTAGTGTTCATGGGTGCTCTTCACTGAGTCCTCCCAACATCCCTGTGAAGTAGGTACTTAAGAATACAAAGGTTAAGTAACTGGCCCAAGGTCACAGAGCTCATACATAGTAGAGCCAGGAATTGAACTCAAACAAACTGACTTCAGAGCCCATGATCTTCAACAACTGTACCTCTATTATAATACTTAGCATATACTCGAGAGGGGAGGGGGGTCCTGGGCAATATATGTAACCTTAACACTTGTACCCCCATAATACGCTAAAATTAAAAAAAAATACTTAGCATAAATTATAATGTTTGCCTCTTCTTGAAGGCAAGGACATTTTGCACGTGATATTTGCATTCCCAATGCCTAGCACATTAAGAGATACTCAAAACGTCTGCTGAAGGTGTGATGGATTCAGAGGGTTTTACAAAATCACAGTGGATTGTTCTGTGGTGCTGAGCTTAGCCCCACCCTGCCTAGTTAAATGGTTCCTTTTACCCAGAGATAATTCTCCTATAACCACATGTCTTAAAAAACAGGTATCTAATATACAAAAGCTTGAAATGGACCAATAATCAACGAATATCAGTGTGTGAAATTTGGGGAAAAAAGAAGGTAAAAATTGGAAACCATTATACTCCAATAATTATTTTATTTTTGGTAAAATTTTATAAGTGTCCACTAATTGGACACTTATAATAATGTGCCAAGGATCGGACAATCTCTTATTTTGGTAGCCAGGCTCCAAGATAACCCCCAAAGATCTTCTCCTTATACCCTTGCATGTCCTCCTCTCACAATGAGCAGAGTTAAGCTGTACAGCCAATAGGATATTGTGAAATGATTTCATAAAAAACACGGCGGCGGTTGACTGCGGTGGCTCACACCTGTAATCCTAGCACTCTGGGAGGCCGAGGTGGGCGGATCCTTTGAGCTCAGGAGTTCAAGACCAGCCTGAGCAAGAGCGAGACCTCCGTCTCTACTAAAAAAAAAAAAAAAATAGAAAAAATTAGCCGGGCATGGTGGCACATGCCTGTTGTCCCAGCTACAGGGATGGGAGGCTGAGGCAGGGGATCGCTTGAGCCCAGGAGTTTGAGGTTGCTGTGAGCTAGGCTGATGCCATAGCACTCTAGCCGTGTCTAGACTCTGTCTAGACAGAGACACTCTACACTAGAGACTCAGCACTCTAGACAGAAAGGAAAGGAAAAGGGAAAAAGGAAAGGAAAGGAGAAGCAGATTAACCTGTAGCAAAGGAAAAAAAAATAAGAAAAAAATTTAAAAAAGGAAAAGAAAAGAAAAGAAAAGAAAGAAAAAAAGAAAAGAAAAGAAAAAAGAAAGAGAAGAGAAGAGAAGAGAAGAGAAGAGAAGAGAAGAGAAGAGAAGAGAAGAGAAGAGAAGAGAAGAGAAACGCAGTTGCTTCCATCCTTCTCTCTTCTGATTACCTGCCCTGGTGTAAGTTAGCCACCATGCTGTACAGATGTTCAGGTAGTCCTATGAAGAGGTCCACGAGGTGAGGAACTGAGGCCTCCAGGCAACAACCAGCACAAATTTGCCAGTCAAATGGATAAACGACCTTGGAAGTGGATCTTCCATCCCCAAATCTTTATATAGACTACATATGACATGGAACAACATCTGGACCACAACCTTATGAGAGATCCTGAGCAAGAACCATCCACTTAGGCCATTCCTGGATTCCAGATCCAAAGAAACTAGGTGAGATTTTTTTTTTAAGTTACTGTTTTAAGTCTTTAGGTTTGGGGCAACTGATTATACAGCAGTAAATAACTAATACCTATTGTCACCACACAGACTTTACTTAGTTTATAAGAATGCAAACAGAAGTCACTGATGTTAATTAACACAGTATCAGGTTCTTGCAATTCTGGAACACTGGACACAAGGAAAATAGAATGCTCAAGAACAACTCAGGAGCAAAATAAATTCCAGTTTCCAAGAGGCTCTGCTTTTTTTTTTTTTTTTTTACAAAAGAAGGAGGCAAGCCTGTCATTTGCTTGTAGATCTCTCTTCATGACTGCTGATTAATTGGTGGGTATGTTCTCTTCTTCTAAACCAGGCCCACCAGGAGGGATAACCAATGGACAACAGTGGCATTTTTATTACCATAGAAATGAGAAGAGAGTTTATTGCTCTGGTTATTTATATTAAGTACCACAGGTCAGATAGGAAAAAGTCTAAAAGTTTTGGAGGAAACCAGCTTTCTCTATTCTCTGACCCCAAAACGTCCAAAATGTTTAGGGGGGAAAAAAAAGCACATTTCTTTTCACTGAAAAGAAAAACTCATCTGAAATTCTAAATACTCAACTGTGAATAAAATATGGTAGTACATTTTCATAAGTAATATCCCTTTGTGTCCTCAAAATAAATTTAAACCATAAATATTACAAATCTGGAATACTGCTAAATTTTTGTTTCTCTAATAAAGGAAAGATTGATGTCAACTGCAGAATCACTAAATTCAGAGAGGAGAGCTTTATTTCCAATAAACG